CTGCTGTGGATCACCTCTCCATTCCTGTGGTCAGATTGTTGTTATATGAGTACCACCTTCCCATATTAGCCCAGATAAAAGGATGCAAAAAGACAGACAGAGAAAGAGAGAAACAGAGACAGACACAGACAGAGACAGAGACAGAGAGAGAAAGTTTTGCTTGTGCCTGCTCACCTTCACTCTTGTTAGCAAATTATTTTCCTTATTGCTTTCTCCGCTGCTGTGGTATGCCTTCACTGACATCAGAATCTAATTTATTTGGCTTCCTGTATGGACTGAAGACCAGCAGCTCTCTAGGAATCCTCTAAGCCTGCAGGACCAGATTGGGACTGCTAAGGTACCCAGCCTAATGGACTGAGCAATTACTGGATTTTCGGCTTCCCCATTGTGAGACAGCCATGGTTAGAATGCCCAGACAATATCATGGCAGCCAATCTGACAAGTGCCCTGTTAATAGATATTCTTTGTTTGTTTTTCTAGAGAACCCTGACCAGGACAACATTATGTAAACAGGAAAAGGATCTGAACAGACATTTCTTCGAAGAAGAAGAAGAAGAAGAAGAAAAAGATGCCCAATGTCTATAGTCAGTAAGGAAATACAACCAAAACCACAATGTAGTACCACTGCAGGCTCACGAGGATGGCTGAAATAAAACAGAAAACTATTAGCTGGGGATGGTGCCACACGCCTTTAATCCCAGCACTCGGGAGGCAAAGGCAGGTGGATCTCTGTGAGTTCGAGGCCAGCCTGATCTACAAAGAGAGTTCTAGGACAGCCAGGGATGTTATACAGAGAAACCCTGTCTTGAAAAACCAAAAAGAAAAGAAAAATATTGGTGAAAATGTGAAGAAACTGGGACACTTCCCCTTGCACATCAGAACATAGAATGGGAAGTGCCATGGACAATGGTGTGGCACGGTTCAAAAGATAAAGTGGGGCTGGGGAGACGGCTCAGTTGGTAAGAGCACTTTCGGCGAAAGCAATAGGACCCAAGTTTGAATGCCCAGCATCCACATAAAAGCCGGGCATGGCCACACTTGCCTGTAACCTAAGCATGGGGGATGGAGGTGAAGACAGGCGGATGCCAGGAGCTCAGCAGACAGCCAGCTTAGTCTAAATGGTGGGTTTCATGTTCTGTGAGACTCTGTGTGATGGTTAGTGTGAATTGCCAACTTCACAAAATCTAGAATCACCTGGGAGACAGACCTCTGAGGATGCCTGTGGAAGATTATTCTGATTTTGTTAATGGAGGCAGGAGACCAACCCACTGTGGGTGGCACCAATCCCTGGCTGGGATCTTGGATGTCTAAATGGAGAAAGGGAGCTGAGCAGCAGCATGAGTTCATTGCTCTCTGCTTCTTCACTGTGCATGTGTGATGGTTTGAATGGGAATGGCCCCTCCATAGACTCATGTGCTTGAATGCTTGGCCCCTAGAGAGAGTGGTACTCTTAGGAGGTGCGGCCTCGCTGAAGTAGGTGTGGCCTTGTGAGGAAGTGTGTGTAAGTGTGTCACTATGGGGATAGGTTTTGAGGTCTCCTATGCTCAGTCTAGGCTCAGTGTGGCTTTTCCTTCTGCTGCCGGCAGATCAAGATGTAGAACTCTCAGTTACCTCTCCAGCACCATGTTGGCCTGCTAGCCGCCATGCTTCTCGCTACGATAATAATAGACTAAACCCCTGAAACTGTAAGCCAGCCCCAATTAAATATTTTCCTTAAGAGAAGGTCATGGTGTCTCTTCAGAGTGATAGGAATCCTAACGAAGACAGCGTGCAAGGTGTCCAGCTGCTTCATTATCTTGATGTCTTGTTTTTGTGGTCTATACTGAAACCCAGAATAAATCCTTTCTTCCCTAAGCTGCTTCTGTCAGGTTTTTTTTTTTTTTTTTTTATCACAACAACAGGAAAAGAAACCAAGACTCCCCATCTCAGAAAATAAGATGGAGAGTATAAAGGGAGATACCCAATATACGCCCTTGGCTTCCACTTGTGTGCACATGGGCGTGCACTCACGTATTTGCACCGCTCCATGATTAAATATCAGGTTACCACATGAACCACCAATTCCATTCCCAGACAGACACCCTCGAGAGCGGAAAACCTGTTCTCAAAGGAAAACTTGGACATTAGTGCTCCCAGGAGCACTCCCCAACAGGCGAGCCATCCCGGAATCTCTGAACTGTTGAATGGATAAACCAAATGTGCAGGCTGGTTCAGTGGACATCATTTGGCAACAAAAAGGAATAAAGAATCAACACGCACTACAATGTGGATTAACTTGGAAAATGTTCAAGTCAATGAAAGAAGTCAGTTGTAGATTATTTATTGCATGATACCATTTGTTCTTTTGAGAGAGGGTCTCCCCACATAGCTCAGGCTGGCCTCAGACTTGAGCTCTACCTCCATCTCCCAAGTGCTGGGAGCACAAATATGCAGCTCACCCTGGTTCTGTGTGAGATCATTTTTATGAAATGTCCAAACTAAGCAAATTTATGAAAACAGAAAGTAGTTTAGTGGCATTGGGGTCTGGGAGAAGGCAAAGGCAGGGGGCAAGGGGGGAGCAGTGTTTGAGTTGGGGGAATAAGAAGTTCTGTGATGCGTTCAGATTTTTGTTGTGGAGACTGGGTCAAGCTGCCCTTGAATTAGAAATCTTCCTGCCTCAACCTCCACATTCTGTGATTATAGGCAAGTGTCACCATGCCTGTGGACTCAGGGTTCATTTTGAAAGTGATGGAATGTTTTAAAATTATTTGTGGTTATGGATGGACAACTCTTCAAATATACTGAAAAGCATTGAATCACATAACTCATATTTGAG